CTGCTAAACTGGCTGGGATTTCTGGGAATTGTAGGCCAAAAACATCTGGGGACCCCAGGTTGAGAACCGCTGTTCTAGGACATCTTGGGTTTGGAGCTTTATATATTCAAATATTTTTTATATTACTTGTCAGAAATTATGATTAATCAAATGACCAAAAATATAGCTTTTAAATATGAAGTCCATACCTGTGAATCTGATCTTGTCTACTGGACCGTACAGGGGCAAGACCATCAATCTCATCAAAGAATATAATTGAAGGACGCATCTGGTAGGCCTACAAGGAAAGCTCAAATAAGTACTGGATAAAAACACACAGAACATAACCCAGGTCTAAAGAAAGCAAAACTACCTGATCAAATAAGAGGCGGAGTTGTCTCTCTGATTCTCCTACCCATTTACTAAGGCAGTCAGCACCTTTTCTCATGAAAAAGGCTATTCTTCTGTCACCCTGACTGCACTCATTAGCAAGTGCTCTGGCAACAAGGGTTTTTCCAGTTCCCGGTGGCCCATAGAAGAGGCACCCCCTGAAAGAATTGAGAATTCAAAATTGTGTTTAACACAATTGCTTCAGCCTCTAAAATACAGCATATTGCACCTAAGCGTTTCATCATTATCATTGTCACTACCCTCATCATCATGAATACAATCTCCACTGCTCTCCATCTTGTTCAATTAATTACCAGGAATTATAAGACAGTAACATAACAATCCTATTTGACCAGAACAAAGATCAATCTAGTCTTGTTTCCCAGAAATTTCAACCTCGCTTTTCGACCTTTGGATTTCCGGATAAAGGAGATTCGAGCTCTACTTAAGTACACAAATAGCCATTTTGCAGCGACTTCCTGCTTTCATTCACTGCACAATTCAAAGAGAAGGCGCATTTATACACAAATTTTTAACAACATATTACAGTAATCTTGTACAAAAGGCCTCAAAAGAATACTGAAAAGATTCACATTTCAGATTTACATATGGTTTACTGTCACTCTAGAAACAACAACAAAAATTCAATACTACCTTGGAGGTTGAATTTTGAATCTTTCGAAGACTTCTGGATAAAGCAGTGGAAAAACCACCATCTCCTTTAAAGCTGAAATATGGCTAGAGAGTCCACCCACACTATCAAATCGTACCTAGAATAGGAAAACAGAGTTAGCAATTTTTTTAAAAAATCAACAAAAATGATAGTGGCCTCAAAATGTTTGTTGCAGTATCCAAGAATCAGACAGGTTCACTAGTTCCACAAAAATTAATTATCAAAACTTTTTGAGAAGAGAAGGAGAAATAAAATTAATATTCGATGCCTTCTCATATTAAATAATAATAATAATAATAATAATAATAATAATAATAATAATAATAATACTTTATTTATATTCTGCTCTATCTCCCAAAAGGGACTCAGGGAGGATTCCAAACATAAAAGGCAAACATTCAATGCCCGAACACAACAACAATATATCCATACTAACAAAATTTATACAACCCAACATATAAACATGAATTATGACTTAACAAACTAAAATTAAATGAAAAGCACAGCCTGACATAAGACAAAACACTTACAGAAGAGTCTATTTGCATTGGATCAACATCAGCCAGGCTTGCTCCAATTTTCATTCGATCCTTATGAATTCCTTTAAGCTCATCTTTTCTAAAGTTTAGTGGAAGGCATCTAATCCAAAAATTAAGAATTGTTGAACGTCACATATGATTGATAATTGAGCATTTATTTATTTACTGCATTTATATACCACCCTTCTCACCCTGAATGGGACGCAGGGCGGCTCACAACAAAGACACAATTCGATACCACGAACACATGTATAGAATAAAACAACAAACACTTTAAAATCACTTAATTAAAACATATGAAACTTAATACTATTACCGTATATTCCGGCATATAAGACGACTGGGCATATAAGACGACCCCCAACTTTTCCAGTTAAAATATAGAGTTAAGACGACTCCCATGCATAAGACTACACCCGCGTATAAGACGACCCCTGACTTTTGAGAAGATTTTCTTGGGTTAAAAAGTAGTCTTATACGCCAGAATATACTGTACTTAAAATCGCACAATCCAATCCGTTCTAATTTAGCAAAAAAATATGCACAGTAACAGGCACTGAAACATCAGGTTAGAAAAGTATCTCATTTTAACTTAAAATACTACAGAACTTTGTTGCCACATAATACCGTATTTACTGGAATATACTGCTCAGCTTTTTTTATTAAATTACCTTGTCAAAATTAGGGTGCAGTTTAGATTTGCATAATATGGTAAATACTTTTTTGGGTTTTGAAAATTGAGGTGCGCATTAGATTCGATGGCACATGAGACTCAAGTAAAGTTATACTGTCTTTGTATAAAAAATACATGCCATGATATGTCACTTCAGAACAATGATAGAATACCTGCTTAATGCTTTGCTCCGACTTCGTTTCTTACGTCTCTCAAAACGCTGCTCATCATCAGAGGACGATGATGATGATGTGGAATCACTATTATGTATTGCATGCTTTCGCCTGTTTTAAAGAATAACATTATAAATATGCATCTGTACTAAGAAATAAAACCCAATTAATGTTCATCAAGTATAACTCATTCCACATGTTATCAAAGAGGGCACATGCTACAGGTGGGTAAATGTATCAAAGAAGAGAAGTACTACACCACTTGAGAAAGTTTTGGAAACCCCAATGACCATGCAAAATATCTGATTGTGAAGGTTATAATCCAAAACAAGGGCTGATGTAGGTGATTTTCCTGGTTGAGTAACTCAGAAGCAGAGATTATACCAGGGGCATAAGCATTGAAAGAGCACAAACCTGTTAATTTTTTTACAGTAAGGGCTCCTTGGTCCCGTAGGGCTAAAGGAAAATCTTCGCCTCGCTGGAGATGCTGCTTCAGGATAAAATAATTTGGGTTTCCTTTGAAGCCTAGGCTCTGTTAACAAAAGAAACAGAATTGATCCTCCTCGTTTATATCTCAATAAATGAGAATGCATAGGGTAACATTATAATATAATAATAAAAAAATATTTATATACAGTTCTATCTCCCCGAGGGGACTCAGGGCAGTTCCCAGGTAACATCACAAAACATACAAAGTAAAACAACATAACCATAAGATTAACAAAACAATATAAGCATAAAAATTATTGGTGGCCCAATAATTTGTTATTGTATATGTATATGTTTTTAAATTGGAGACTGTTTTAATTGTTGTAAACCGCAGTTGAGTCGCCGACCCAGGCTGAGAAATTAGCGGTATACAAGTGTACCAAATAAATAAATAAATAAAAATTGTCGTCATAACACACATATATTAAAAGTAATAACATTCGCTATGTTTACTGTGAAATAACATTTCAGAATGTCAGTCGGATCCACTAAGTTCTAAATTTAATTATGTTAATTTGGTTATTTGCATAATCTCTTGACAAAGTGTAAGTGGGAAAATAAACAGAAGTAATTTATGATAGGATTTACATGTCCCAAGTATAATATTCACAGTGAGAAAGGGCATCTGAGGAGGCGGGGAGTGAACCTACTTTCTGGTGAGGGTTGATAGTGCACAACAGTTTTTCGTTGTCTAAGATCATAGCGTTTTTGATTATCTACTGCATCTTCATCTTCTTGGTCTTCACCCTCTTCTGAAGATTCTAATGATCACAGAACAATTGCTTTAGTTTTAAAAAAACAATCTCTTACCACATTTACTAAGGCTGCAAACTTTAATGCTAAGACAAGATATTGTCACTCTTGGGACTAGAAACAACATTCATTGGAGTAAATACTTGCAATACATTTTTCTCATTATTTTATGACAATGTCCCTTGGAGCAATGATAGATGGCAAACATGCTGCATTCAGCTCCTTTTTTTTTACAGCCACCCAAATCTTCCATGGAAAATACATTTAAAATCACTCCACAGAAAAGTGGTGGAATGATCTATTGCTAAATTTCAACAACCTCCTGTCAAAGGAGAAAAGAGACAGAGAAGAGGAAGAAGGCAGGGAGGATGAGCTACTATATGAAAAATTGCCTTATCGTAGGTGGCGTAGGCATTCAGAAACGGAGGGATGCAATGGAGGTCACGTGGTATGCACTTAAAATGAACTGGAGGCATTGTGATGTTAAGATGACAAAGGGAGGTATGAGCCAGGGTCACTGGCAGGAAGGGAGCCTGCAACATGCATGTTTTTTTTTTTGGGGGGGGGGGGTGTTGTGTATTAAGATATCCCCAGGTTTTGCAACCCTAACCCCTGTAAAAGCTGAGGGTCAATTGCAATAGGAAATAGTTCCAAAAAAACACCCCATTACAACAACCTGCACTTCCATCCTGGTTATCAGTGGTTTCTTCATCAGTCCTTTGGACTGCTCTTTTTGGTTTTCCTCTTGAGTATACATTAAGACTTTCCTAGAAATGAAAGGAGATGTCATTCAACTGACCACATATCACACATCAAAGGCAGACCATCAACACGAATTCATGACAAATGAAGCTTCAAGGCTAGTCCCAATACCAAAAGCAAATACTGTAGTAAAGATTTAAGTTTCCAATAACTATATAATTCAAAGCAGGCTTTCAGCAAAATGAATTTTTCAAGCAAGAATATTTGCTTACCTCTTCTCTATCATTGAATACCCCAAGGTCTTCCAAGTCCATTATTCGTCGTCGGCGCATCTTCTTCATGTCATCCATTTTTTGAAGCACAGCTTCAGCAGTGCTTTAGTGCATAAGACAATATTAAATAGAATACAATTAAATAGAATAGGAAAAACACCAAACAAAAATTAATTAAACCCAGCCTGATTCAGTGCTAAGTTTGTGAAAACGCAATAGGGTATGAAATGCATCACATTAACATAGCCTTTTACAGAAATATTGTCTCATGGTGAAATATTTTGATCAGAGGTCTTTATACAGATCCTCATGTATATGTAGTTTATCATTAATGGTAAGTACACATCTATTTTGCCTTGTGTACATGGAAAAGGAACCATGAATATGAATATGTGCCTGGAACAATCTATTAGGGTGAAAATTAGATGTGGAAAAATCGAGAACTGTATTCAGTTCAGGTAGATATGGAATATGCCCAAATGAAGGAGGGATTTCTACCAATCCTGGTTACCACAGTAAATAATCTGGAAGGAGACAATCACAACAAAACTGTATTTATATCCCGCGCCATCTCCCTGTAGGGACCCAGGGCGACAGATAGTGTCTCCACCAAAACTAATACATTTCTTCCCAAGCTCAGCTTATCAAGATGGGGAGAAGAAGGGTGAATTCTGTAAGCTGCAGCACTAACCACAATGAATGGTTTGACCAATGTTCTTCAAATCCAGTATTTAGGAAATGCTGAAGCAATATACTAAGCCAATCATCCAGTTATTTCTGTTGGTTTTCTTCCAAAAACAGGAAGAATTTTTCAGAATGTGGGACCCAGAAGAATGGAGCATGACTTTGGTGCAAATTGTGCAAAAACAAAATGTCTCTAGCACCTATTCTTCCAAACTTCTACAAATTTCCTGCCTAGGGCCCAGCCCATTTTAATAGATATTGTCAAAAACAATGAAGGGAAAAAGGTGAACAAAATCATATTTCAAATCAGTTCATTCTTCCAAATCCTACACCATTTCATGTGAAACACTGCATTTTCTTTAATTTGCACCACCACTATTTTATAGGTCATTTTTATAACGACTCTATGTGCTTTTGGTGAGACTGCCCTTGAGGATGACCCAGAAGCTACAATCAGGGCTATACAGAGCAGCTAAGTGTTAACAAAGGTATCACATAGACACCATATTATACTGGTCTCAAAAGAACTGTATTTGTTCCCAATATGCTTGTTTTTTAAATTGGAAAAAAACTTACTTTGTAATAAGCTTGTCAAACAAAACTGATTGGTTCATAGTACTATAGCGGCTTTGTCTAATTCTACAACTACGACGGACTTCAACATCTCCATTTTCTTCAGCAGCATGCTTGCGGGGCTTTACAGTTCTCAGAGACCTGGTGACAGGAACTCCGCTTCCTAGAGTTGACAAAAAAAATCATATCATTATGATTTTTAAGATCCCTTCCCCCATACCAGAATAATGAACATAGCGACCTACTAGATCCTCTATATCTATTTTATTTTGGCAACTCAGAACATTTGTGATTTACTCCTTACCTTCTTCACACTCTTCATTCTTTGCATCAGCTTGCAGTCTAGCCAACCGTCTGCAAAGAAGCAAATACATTTAAATATCTAACATGATTTATAATCTCATATGTTTTAAAACACCTTCATTAGCTCTCTGTGTTCAATTCAAAGTGCTAGTGGCTGTTTTTAAAACCTAATTTTGTTTAGTGTAGTATTTTATTGGAGCAACGTAACTCATATCCAATTATCCATCTACTTGTGCACTACAATGTATGTCTGAATGTCTCTTAATGCCCCTGTACTTGGTAGCAAAGCAAGTAAAGGCCAAGATTCTAGACTTTTTATAGCAGCTTTCTGCCTGTGAATTCTCTCACAAATGGAAACTTCCTGGAGCCTACACTGTTATTACTGCAAACCAGATAAAAACCTTTCTGTTTTCTTGATGTATAATACTGACTTTTTGGTACTTTTAAGCTGTCATTTTTGGGAACTGCTTTACTCTGTGATGTGCCATTGTACTTTTTAAAATATTTATTTTAAAATATTTTTTATTCCTTTATGAATAAATATGATGAGGTGCAATTCATATTACTGACAGTACATTCGCTAAACTGACTTTTCCTACAGGTGTGCCATGTCAAATATCCATTGTTTGAGAGTCAGGAGGGAAGAGGTTGCAAATCTAAGACAATTTTGTCAGTTCTTTTAATATTTTTGAATGCAGTTCATGTGGCCCTGGAGATCTGAATTTATTTGTTGTATCCAGGTTATACTATCACGTTCTCTATTGCGTGCTATCTTCCCTACAACATCATCTAATGAACAGTTTTCCTTTTTGGAAAAGGACCAAATGAAAGTGTTGAGCAGTTCTACCTTTTCTCTGCTCCCCATTAGCTTTTTGCCATATTCTTCACTCAGTGACTCTACAATTCCCTGTTTCTTCCTTTTGCCAAGGACGTAACTTTTTACTGTCTTTGACCTCTCCAGCAAGCCTGTGCTGTACATTTCTGGCTTTCTCAATATAGCAAAATACAACACAAATGTGGAAAGAAATAACTCATAGCTGGAAAATATGTCCGATCACAGCAGAATACTAAGTGATGTTTTAACAAATGAATTGTAGAAAGGGGGGCAATTACCTTGTAAAATGTTTCCTATTGATACCATTCTCACTTAGCATTGTTACATCTTTTTCAAAACCGGAATCTGAATACTGTTGACTACTCTTTCTCATAGATCTTGAGTGTCTTGTAAAATGTTCACATTCTTTGTCAGAGGAAAACTCCTGGAAAAGGATAAATAAAACTATTAAAAACACGTATTTGACAGTTTAGAAGCTATGATACTGAACTTCTGTTTATGATCTTTTCCAGTATTATGGGTGAAAGGAATGAGAAAAAGAGGAGGCAAAGAAGCAAGCGAAAGCAAGCTTTTGTTTTTGGAATGAGGAGAAATCCAAGTATTTTTGATGGGGGCCTGTGATTATCTGCAAAATCTTTGAAAGCTCTAGGCAAGAGGCCACGGTCAGGGTACAACATGGAGGAAACAGAATGGTGTCCATTTTGTTAGATTGCAAGGTCAAAAGGGGATGCATTTTATTGCCCCATCAATTTAGTTAATACAGAGAACACCATAAAGAAAATTAGATTACACTCAAAGGAATGAGCTGTGAAACAGAGTCGAAAAATATTAAAATTTTATATATGCTATGACAACCATACTAGCAGAAAACAGCAAAAACTTGGAACAACTGATGAAAGTTGGAAGTTAACAACTGCAAGGCAGTTAGTTGAATATTAAGAAAACAAAAATAATGCACAGATGACTGAACACACGTAAAAACAAATGAAGACGTCATCTAGTCCTGTATTTTTGCTCAGTTATAAATTAAAATAGGGACAGTAGTGAAACAATCAGAATGAGGCTAAATCCTTGAAGTAACAAGACAGGATTCTTAATATATATAAAGACATTTATTAAATATTAAATCAGACTCACCCATGCCATAGCATTTCTGATTTGTAGGTAGGGTTGTAAAAGCTGGCAGCAAAAGAGATCAACTCATTTGAAATGTGATGCTAAAGAATAACTCTAAGGATACCATGTCTTGTTGAAATAAATGATCTGAACTAAAAGACAGGATGGTTAAAACAAAGCTCTCATCTTTTGGATGTACCTGAGGGTATGCCTCATTACAAAACATGTAAAGGCAATAGGAAAAGAGGAAGACTTGCGGTACTGGTGGATTGATTCAATCAAGGCCATGACGTTGAGTTTGCAAGTCCTGAATAGTGCAGACAATTAATGCATCCCTTGGAGGCCTCTTTTTCATAGGATCACTAAACTGAAGTTGATACATAGCAATTTGGATGAGTGGGTTTGTGGGAGAGATGGTAGGCGCAGGTGAGACAAATCTCATGAGCACTGGAGATTGTACATAAGCATCTCTCTTTGAAGACTGCTCACACAGGAAGCTACCAACATTTTGTAACCTGATTCTAACAAATTTCTTTGGGTATGTGACTTTCTATATGGAAAAAAGAAAATAAAACCAATTTCTCCACTCCAACTTTATAAATTTGGATTTGCAGAAAAGAGTTGAACTAAGAGCCCCTCTGCTGCAAAAGTGCTTCTAAACATAAACACCACACAAAAAAGGAAGGCAACACAGCTAAATCTAGATACATGAGGTAGAATACTGTGGTGTGAAGCGGTCTTCCCAGCTAACAGGGTTAGGAGAGGTGTGTTTGTTACAAGATTTGGTAACAACTTGCTTTTTAAACAAACTAGTTAAGCAGCCAGGGGGCATTCAAAACAGGTTTGTATTGTGTCTTATTGTTTATAATTGTAATATTTATTTATACCCTGCTTTAACTCTCCTTAAGGAGACTCACGATGTCTTTCTGCTGAGATTAAATGACAGTCTCTCAGGAGGGTTCAAATTGTGTCTTTCTCCAGAAGCTGGTCATGTAAGAAGGGTTTGGATTGTGTCTTTCTACAAAAGCTGGAAGATCCAGGCATGGACAAACTTGGGCGCTCCAGGTATTTGGACTTGAACTCCCACAATTCCTATCAGCTGGTATTGTGGGAGTTGAAGTCCAAAACACCTGGAGGGCCCAAGTCTGCCTATGCCTGGTCTAGATCCCTGTTCTTAACTATGAGTCATTTGTAAGTCAGATGTTTGTAACCTGTAATCATTTTGTGTAACTTTTATCCAGTGTGCTGGATGTGTGATTCCTCATATGTAGAGAAATGTTTTTATAAATATTTGCCATCAAGCCAACTTCAATTTATGGCAACCCTAGGAGTAAAAGACCTCTGAGAGACCCTTTTGTCAATTGTCCTATTCAGGTCTTGCACAATCTTGAGCATCGTTTCCTTGATTTAATCAACCCATGATAGTGTGGTCTTCCTCTTTTCCTAACGCTTTCCCTTTTACTGAGCATTATCTTCTTTTCCACTGAATCCTGTCATGATGCTTCCAAGCTATGACAGCCTCAGGCTAGTCCTTTTGGTTTCTGTTGAGAACTAAGTCTTCATATGCTCTAAGCCAGTGGCTCTCAGCCTGTGGGTGTCCAGATGTTTTGACCTTCAACTGGCTGGAATTTCTGGGCCAAAACCCCTGGGGACCCACAGGTTGAGAACCACTGCTCTAAGCTCATTTCATTTGTTTCCTCTGTAGAACTCTCTTCAAGCACGTTTTAAGATGTGCAATGGATCAAAACTTCTGTCAGCAGGGTTTGAATTGTGTCTTTCTGCAGAGACTGGAGGGCCATCTGCCAGGGGTGGGTTTGAATTGTGTCTTATTAAATTTATTATTATAATATTTATATTACATATTATTTATACCCTACTTTATCTTTCCCAAAGCATCTTTCTGCTGGGATCAAATGATCTTCTGCCAGGAAGGTTTGGATTGTGTCTTATATTTATTATTATAATATTCATATTACATATTATTTATACCCCACTTTATCTTTCCCAAAGCATCTTTCTGCTGGGATCAAATCACCTTCTGTCAGAAGGGTTTGGATTGTGTTTTTCTGCAGAGGCTGGAGGGCCATCTGCCAGGAAGGCTTGTCTTTTGTCTTATTATATTTATTATTATGTTTATTACTTATTATTCATTCCCCACTATCTTTCCCAAAGCATCTTTCTGCTGGGATCAAATGACCTTCTGTCAGGAGGGTTTAGATTGTGTCTTTCTGCAGAGACCAGATGTCCATTTGCCAGGAGGGTTCGGCCTGTCTCTTTCTCCTGAGACCAGATAACTATCTTGTCAGGAGGGTTTGTATTGTGTCTTCCTGCAGAGGTTGGAGGGCCATCTGCCAGGAGGGTTTGTATTGTGTCTTTCTGCAGAGGCTGAAGGGCCATCTGCCAGGAGAGTTTGTATTGTGTCTTATTATAATATTTATTATTATATTTATCACATATTATTCATAACCCACTTTATCTTTCCCAAAGCATCTTTCTGCTGGGATCAAATGACGTTCTGCCAGGAGGGCCATCTGCCAGGAGGGCTTGTATTGTGCCTTATTATTATATTTACTACATATTATTCATTCCCCACTATCTTTCCCAAAGCATCTTTCTGCTGGGATCAAATGACTTTCTGTCAGGAGGGTTTGGATTGTGCCTTTCTGCAGAGACTGGAGGGCCATCTGCCAGGAGGGCTTGTATTGTGTCTTATTATTATATTTACTACATATTATTCATACCCCACTATCTTTCTCAAAGCATCTTTCTGCTGGGATGAAATGACCTTCTGTCAGGAGGGTTTGTATTGTGTCTTTCTGCAGAGACTGAGGGCCATCTGCTGGGGGGTGAGGTTGAATTGTGTCTTATTAAATTTATTATTATAATATTTATATTACATATCATTTATACCCCACTTTATCTTTCCCAATGCATCTTTCTGCTGGGATCAAATGACTTTCTGTCAGGAGGGTTTGGATTGTGACTTTCTGCAGAGTCCAGATGTCCATTTGCCAGGAGAGTTCGGACTGTCTCTTTCTCCTGAGACCAGATGACTATCTTGTCAGGAGGGTTTGGATTGTGTCTTCCTGCAGAGGCAGGAGGGCCACCTACCAGGACGGTTTGTATTGAGTCTTGTTATTATATTTATTATTAGTAGTATATTTGTTACATATTATTTATACCCCACTTTATCTTTCCCAAAGCATCTTTCTGCTGGGATGAAATAACCTTCTGTCAGGAGGGTTTGTATTGTGTCTTATATATATTATTATTATTATATTTACTACACATTATTCATACCCCACTATATTTCCCAAAGCATCTTTTTGCTGGGATCAAATGACCTTCTGTCAGAGGAGGGTTTGGATTGTGTCTTTCTACAGAGACCTGGTGGCCATCTGTTAGGAAGGTTGGATCCTGCCTTTCTGCAGAGACCTGATGACCATCTGTCAGGAGTGTTCACATTGTGCCTTATTATTATATTTACTACATATTATTCATACCCCACTATCTTTCCCAAAGCATCTTTCTGCTGGGATCAAATGACCTTCTGTCAGGAGGGTTTGGATTGTGACTTTCTGCAGAAGCTGGAGGGCATTCTGCCAGGAGGGTTCGCACTGTGTCTTTCTGCAGAGGCTGGAGGGCCATCTGCCAGGAGGGCTTGTATTGTGCCTTATTATTATATTTATTACATATTATTCATACCCCACTTTATCTTTCCCAAAGCATCTTTCTGCTGGGATCAAATGACCTTCTGTTAGGAGGGTTTGGATTGTGCCTTTCTGCAGAGACCTGATGGCCATCTGTCAGGAGGGTTCGCCTTGTGTCTTTCTGCAGAGGCTGGAGGCTCCAGGCCTGGGCCCAACTCCCTTGAGCGCCCTCTTTCCTTTCCCCCCCCCCCCTCATCCCGGCCTAGTGGAGCCAACTGTTGCCGGGGTCAGTTCCGGAGGCCTCTCCCCGCTCCCTGGCACACTCACCGCCGTGCTGTCCCGGGTGCGAGCGGGGCCTCCTCCTTTCCCGGAGGCAGGCCCTCCTTGCTCCTTGTTCCGCGGCCGGGGCGCCGCCATCTCCAGGGAGAGGAACTCCGCGCTGGACTCCATCTCCTCGAAGAGGGCCCTTCCGCGCTTCCCGCCGCTCGGGGTCGTGGCCACGCCGCCTCCATCGTGAGGCTCCGGCCGGCTTGAGCCCCCCGAACCGCTCCGGAGCATCACCATGGCTTTCCCGGAGCGGCAACCGAACTCCGCCGAACTCCCCGCCGACTCCTTCCTTCTGTCAGCCAGCTCCGAATTCTGGCGCCACAGAGCGGGATGTGTCGCGTCACCAACCGCCTTCTCTGTGGATCCCTCCGCACCTCGTCTCGTTCTCCCTCATGCGATTCTTTATATACCCAGGGGGGCGGCCTTCAACCGTCCCCTTTAAGAGCCAGGCACAAGACCACTTCCCTTTTTTAAAGTCAATGTGCCCAAAAGTAGAAACGTTGCGGGACTATTTTGCCCTCCGGGAAGTAGTCCCACCCTGGCGGAAGGACACCATGTTTAAAAGTTCGATCCGACTTTTTTGGCGCCTTTACCGCCTTGTTTTGCTGCGCTGTGATTGGTGAGTTAGACCGCGCGCCGTTTCCCTGCCTCTGGCCAGGAGGCGTTCAAATACGAAGCTCTTAAAGCGACAGGCGCGCTTTTCCCCTTCCTTCAATACTTCTTCCCTTCCCTTCTTCCTTTCCTTCCTTCACTACCTCCTTTCCTTCTCTTCTTCCTTTTCTTCCTTCATTTCTTCTTTTTCTTCTCTCCTTCTCTTCCTTCCCTTCTCTTCTTCCTTTTCTTCCTTCAATAGTGTTCTGTGACCGCTTACTTCGCGTAATGGACGAGCCGCCCCTGGACACATCACACTTAACGTTATGCTAGCGTATTTATTTATTTATTTATTTAGAACATTTAAACCCCATCCACTTCAAGAGGGACTCAGAACGGCTTCCATCAGGCAACAATTTCATGCCATACAATGTAATCACATAATAAAATAACCATATACATAATAAAATAATTATAAATAAACATTAAAAACAGTGCGCCAAGTTAAAAACATCATCCAGCTCAATCCAAAATTGCGGTCCATAAAATCTTTGTCTTCACAAGTGCAGTCCATCTAATCTGCAAACACCTGATTCCATAGCCAAGATTTCAGTTTCTTCTGGAAGATCAGGAGGAAGGGAGCAGATCTAACCTCTTTGGGAAGAGAGTTCCAAAGACGGGGGGCCACTATGGAGAAGGCCCTGTTTCTTGTCCCCACCAGACGCGATTACAAAGGCGGTGGGATCAAGAGCAGGGCCTCCCTGGAAGATCTTAAAGTCTTTAATGGTTCGTAGGGGAAGATACGTTTGGACGGTAATAAATAAACGGTAACCTGGGCCGGAACTGTTTATTTATTTATTATTTATTTCCAATTTTTCTATCCCGTTCCTTCTCAAGCTCCGAAGGGGGACTCAGGACGGCTTACATTTGGCAGCAATTCAATGCCACTACATATAACAGAGCAATATAATAACAATTAAAACAATTAGTAAAACATTCATTAAAATCATTTGAGTCTATTCCATATCCAAAGTGCTATCTATGTCTGTTGTCCAAAAGCCTGGTCACAGAACCACAACTTCAATTTCTTCCTAAACGATAGGAGGGATGGAGCAGATTTTACTTCAGTGGGAAGTAAAAATCTTGGTTTTGTATCCTGTTTGTTTTTGGATGCTCTGTTTTCTATCCTGTTTGGTTTTGGATGCTCTGTTTTGTATCCTGTTTGGTTTTGGATGCTCAACTTCAATTTCTTCCTAAACGATAGGAGGGATGGAGCAGATTTTACTTCAGTGGGAAGTAAAAATCTTGGTTTTGTATCCTGTTTGTTTTTGGATGCTCTGTTTTCTATCCTGTTTGGTTTTGGATGCTCTGTTTTGTATCCTGTTTGGTTTTGGATGCTCTGTTTTGTATCCTGTTTGGTTTTGGATGCTCTGTTTTCTATCCTGTTTGGGTTTGGATGCTCTGTTTTCTATCCTGTTTGGTTTTGGATGCTCTGTTTTGTATCCTGTTTGGTTTTGGATGCTCTGTTTTGTATCCTGTTTGGTTTTGGATGCTCTGTTTTCTATCCTGTTTGGTTTTGGATGCTCTGTTTTCTATCCTGTTTGGTTTTGGATGCTCTGTTTTGTATCCTGTTTGGTTTTGGATGCTCTGTTTTGTATCCTGTTTGGTTTTGGATGCTCTGTTTTCTATCCTGTTTGGTTTTGGATGCTCTGTTTTCTATCCTGTTTGGGTTTGGATGCTCTCTTTTCTATCCTGTTTGGGTTTGGATGCTCTGTTTTCTATCCTGTTTGGTTTTGGATGCTCTGTTTGTTTTTGGATGCTCTGTTTTCTATCCTGTTTGGTTTTGGATGCTCTGTTTGTTTTTGGATGCTCTGTTTTCTATCCTGTTTAGTTTTGGATGCTCTGTGTTTCTATCCTGTTTGTTTTTGGATGCTCTGTTTTCTATCCTGTTTGGTTTTGGATGCTCTGTTTTGTATCCTGTTTGTTTTTAGATGCTCTGCTTTATTTTAAGGTAGTTTATTCTAACAATGAAGAATTATAAGCAACATGCCAATGGAGTTGTATTCTAAAAGTAGCAGGCAAAAATCTGCTCACGTTACCAATGATGCCAAATATTACATTATAACTCATTGAATTGGTAAGGAAATCTGAGACTAGTATTTTGAAACTTTTTCTTTTTTGCCTGCAACGTTGTGCTTGCATTGTTTGCACACAACAACAATCGAGCCCAGTCAGTATTGTGAAAATATCAATACCGACGTCTCGTTCGTCCAAATTTAATATAGAGCCCCGGTCTCTTCATTCAGAATTCAGCTGACGGCACTGGGAAACAGCACTCTTCATTACCTGTAAAAAGCGATCTGGGTGGCACGGTAAATGACTGAAGTGCCACCATTTGAAAAGATGGCCATCACTATGGTAACTCCAATTCTGTCTTTCAACTTAAAGCACATTAATGGCACAAAAAACTGCAAGCGGAATCAATTTTCTATAGTCGTAGGGAGCGACGTCTTATAAAGTGGAGCAGATAACTATGTTTAAAAATATCCTTATTCAGTATGTTTTTATACAGTCGGTCCTCCATATCCACAGGTTCTGCATCCACGGATTGAACCAGCCAGAGTTGGAAAACATTTGGGGAAATATCCAAAGAGAAAAGGTACCAAAAGGTTTGAATCAGGGGAGCGGCATGAGTTCCTGCTGTCAACCCCAGCTTCTGCCAACCTAGCAGTTCGAAAACATGCAAATGTGAGTAGGTCGATAGGGGAAGCGGCCACATGACCTTGGAGGTGTCTATGGACAATGCCGGCTCTTGGCTTAGAAATGGAGATGAGCACCAACCCCCAGAGTCGGACACGACTGGACTTAATGTCAGGGGACAACCTTACCTTAAAGAACATGACTGCACAACTACAGTACAACGTGTGGACAACCTAAGCCACAGCTTCAAAAGCATGAGAAAAAGTGACATCCGAAAAGTGAGACAAATTCACTCTGTACAAATCTTGGGGCACATTTTCTATGAAGATGAAACCTATAAAAATGTACAACTGGTCCAGCTCTTGCTGAAGGACATTTCACAGTGATTGTGAAAAACTAAGAATTATACATGCAAGTCGTCATGTAAAGTTTTATTGCAACCCAGATGGAGTCACACCATTTGAAATTCTGCCAGAGGATGCTTTTGTAATTAGTTATAAAGTGTGTTTATAAAGCAAGAAATAGTTTTCAATTATCTACAGAGATACTCGCAGGAACACCCCAGCAAGCGAGAGTCCAAAAGTGGCAGGCTCAAACCGGGAACCTTAAGCCATAGCTAATATTGAATGAGAGACTCCCCCACTGGGCACACAGAAGACTGGGCAACTTGGAAGGCACTGATCAGACTTTGCTCTGGCACCACGAGATGCAGAGCCAACCTTAAGAAATGGGGCCACAAAGTGGAATCCACGGCGTGCAAATGCGGAGAAGAGCAAACCACAGACCACCAACTACAATGCAGCCTGAGCCCTGCCACATGCACAATGGAGGACCTTCTTATAGCAACACCAGAGTTACTCCAAGTGGCCAGCTACTAGTCAAAGGATATTTAGTATAATACCAAGTTATTTATTTATTTATTTATTTATTTATTTATTTATTTATTTATTTATTTATTTATAGTATTTATATTCCACCTTTCTCAACCCGCAGGGGACTCAGGGGTGAATTACAATGTACATATACATGGAAAACATTCAGTGCCATAGACTCACAACATATATAGACAGACACACAGAGGCTATTTAACATTCCAGCTTTTTTATGAGGGTATTCTGGCCACCGGGGGAGCTGTCGCTTCACCATCCATTTGTGACAAGTACTTCCTCATTCTTTGCATGCTTGCTGGAGATTTTTATGGCCTCATAAATTAGCCTCCCCGCATAAGCGGTACCTCAATTTTCTACTTGACAGATGCAACTGTCTTTCAGGCTGCAAAAGTCGACAGCAAGCTACACAAATTGGTCAGAAGCTGACTCCGACCCGGGCTGGCTTCGAACTCATGACCTTTTGGTCTGTAGTGATCTTAATGCAGCTGACTCCCAGCCAGCTGCGCCACAGGTATCTATCTATCTATACATACATACATACTTACATACATCAAAAGTGCCGATGGATCTGGACCACACTTGCCATGGATGATGGGATTTGCAGTCCTGGTGCAACTTTATTTTTTTTTTCAATACATTACAGCTGTATCCTCGGTTTGCTTCTGATATGAAAAACACATTAACACCTCCCAACCAAGGATTCCCCCAGGCAGGAAGCAGACAGGCTTTGAAGCTGCAAGGCCATTCAGTGCTTATCAAGGTGGCCAATTGCAACACTCACACCTACCTCGAACAGACAAGAGTTCTTTCTCCTACCCTGGACATTTTTCCACAGGTATAATCCCCACTTGCCTAGTTTCCAACAGACCACACAACCTCTGAGAATGCCTGCCATAGATGTGGGTGAAACGTCAGGAGAGAATGCTTCAGTCCAACGCACTGGAAACTCACAGCAACCCAGAGATACTTGTGCTTAGCATTTCTCATGCCCTTCCTTCCTTCCTTCCTTCCTTCCTTCCTTCCTTCCTTCCTTCCTTCCTTCCATCCATCCATCCATCATTTTGAACCTGACTCAGCACATAGAAGTTGGCTTTGAAAGGCAGCAGGTCACAGGAGCTGTCTTCATAGACCTGACAGCGGCTTATGAGACTGTGAACCACCGCCTCCTCCTGAGAAAAATGTATAATATCACAAAGGACTACCACCTCACCCGCCTCATAGGAAACCTGCTACAAAACAGGAGCTTTTTGTTGAGTTCCAGGGCCAGAGAAGCAGATGGCAGAAACAGAAGAACGGCCTGCCTCAGGGGAGCGTGCTTGCTCCATCCATGTTCAACATCTACACAAATGACCAGCCACTGCCAGAAGGGACAGAGAGTTTCATCTATGCTGATGATCGTGCCATCATCGCTCAAGCAGGGAGCTTTGAGATGGTTGAACAGAAGCTCTCCGAAGCTCTAGGTGCTCTTACTGCCTATTACAGGGAAAACCAGCTAATCCCTAATCCATCTAAAACACAGACATGTGCCTTTCACCTTAAGAACAGACAAGCATCCCGAGCTCTGAGGATTACCTGGGAAGGGATCCCACTGGAGCATTGCAGCACACTCAAATACCTGGGAGTCACTCTGGACCGTGCTCTGACCTACAAGAAGCACTGCCTGAACATCAAGCAAAAAGTGGGCGCTAGAAACAATATCATACGAAAGCTGACTGGCACAACCTGGGAATCACAACCAGATACAGTGAAGACATCTGCCCTTGCGCTGTGCTACTCTGCTGCTGAGTATGCATGCCCAGTGTGGAACACATCTCACCACGCTAAAACAGTGGATGTGGCTCTTCATGAGACATGCCGCATTATCACGGGGTGTCTGGAGAAATTACACTGCTTAGACGGTATTGCACCACCTGACATCCGCCGGGAAGTAGCAGGCAATAGTGAAAGGACCAAGGCAGTGACCTCTCCAGCTCATCCCCTGTTTGGGTATCAGCCAGCACGTCAACGACTTAAATCAAGAAATAGTTTTCTAAGATCCACAGAGACACTCGCTGGAACACCTCAGCAAGCGAGAGTCTAAAAGTGGCAGGCTCAAACCCAGAACCTCAACCAATGGCTGATACCAAATGAGAGACTCCCCCTGGGCACACAGAGGACTGGGCGACTTGGAAGGCGCTGAACAGACTGTGCTCTGGCACCACGAGATGCAGAGCCAACCTCGAAGAAATGGGGCCACAAAGTGGAATCCACGACATGCGAGTGTGGAGGAGAGCAAACCACTGACCACCTGCTGCAATGCAACCTGAGCCCTGCCACAAGCACAATGGAGGAGGCACTCCAAGTGGCCAGATACTGGTCAAAGGACATTTAATCAGCTACCAAGCTTGCAAACTTTGTGTTTTGTTTTGTTTGTTTGTTTGTTAGAAATGCAGTACAACTGTCTGGTTTGCTCAAGACACGATAAATAAATAAAATAATTTTGAAAACTAAAATGGCAGTCCATCATCTGTCTTTGGTTGTGTCTGAAGCTGCAAGGTTCATAGAATCATAGAATCATAGGATCAAGGAGTTGGAAGAGACCTCATGGGCCATCCAGTCCAACCCCATTCTGCCAAGAAGCAGGAATATTGCATTCAAATCACCCCTGACAGATGGCCATCCATCCTCTGTTTAAAAGCTTCCAAAGAAGGAGCCTCCACCACACTCTGGGGCAGAGAGTTCCACTGCTGAACAGGTCTCACAGTCAGGAAGTTCTTCCTCGTGTTCAGATGGAATCTCCTTTCTTGTAGTTTGAAGCCATTGTTCCCTTGCGTCCTAGTCTCCAGGGAAGCAGAAAGGAAGCTTGCTCCCTCCTCCCTATGGCTTCCTCTCCCATATTTATATATGGCTATCATATCTCCTCTCATCCTTCTCTTCTTCAGGCTAAACATGCCCAGCTCCTTAAGCCGCTCCTCATAGGGCTTGTTCTCCAGACCCTTGATCATTTTAGTCGCCCTCCTCTGGACACATTCCAGCTTGTCAATATCTCTCTTGAATTGTGGTGCCCAGAATTGGACACAATATTCCAGATGTGGTCTAACCAAAGCAGAATAGAGGGGTAGCATTACTTCCCTAGATCTAGACACTAGGCTCCTATTGATGCAGGCCAAAATCCCATTGGCTTTTTTTGCCGCCACATTTTTTGCCACATTCCAGCTTGTCAAGATCTCTCTTGAATTGTGGTGCCCAAAATTGGACACAATATTCCAGGTGTGGTCTAACCATAGCAGAATAGAGGAGTAGCATTACTTCCCTAGATCTAGGTTGTCCTGTATTTGACATAAGTTTGTGACAAGTTGAATAAATTAATGCTACAAATGACAGATATTTGGGGGGGGGGGGGCATTATTTTGCAACTTCCAGGGATTAACCATGCGAAACCTTCTTGGTCTATGTCCAACCCAAAAGAGCAAAAATGACGGAGTCTTCCATTTTAAGACGCTTGCAGTGTGGCGGAGGGTGCGTTTTTAGTATCACCTTCAAATCAAAGGACAGATAGCACGCATCAAAATTAGATTTTGAGCCTTGAAGGCTTAAGTTGCCCAAGAAGAGATTATGTAAGGAAAGGGGGAATGCTGTTTCTCTGGCAAGCTGTCATGTGCGGTACCAATCTTGGGAGTGAGTGCAGAAAATGTCATCCTAACATCTGTATCTCTCTGCTTTCGTTTGCAACATCTAGGCTTGATCTGTATCTGTTTTAGCAAAAGTTCATTTTTCTCTCAATTCTCTCTCTTTCCCTGTCCATTACCAGTAAGATTTATTATTATTATTTTTGGACATGGAACTGGAGATAAATTAAATGATGACACTAGCATGTCACGAATAATTTTCCTTAGGAAGAGGTTCCTTGACACCTTAAGTAACTCAGGGAGATGCCTGTGAGAAGCAGCCTCTCTGCCGGTGAAATAGGTTGGCTTTAGGTTCTTGTGGGTTTTTTTCGGGCTATAGGGTCATGTTCTAGAGGCATTTCTCCTGACGTTTCGCCTGCATCTATGGCAAGCATCCTCAGAGGTAGTGAGGTCTGTTGGAATTAGGACAATGGGTTTATATATCTGTGGAATGGCTGGGGTGGGGCAAGGAGCTCTTCCCTGCTGGAGCTAGGTGTGAATCTTTCAGATGACCACCTTCATTAGCATTTGAAGGCCTGGCTGAGCCTGGGAAAATCTCTTGCTGGGAGGTGTTAAGATGT